CCATTCACATTATTTCAATTCAATAGACAAAAAACAATAGCTGCAAATTACACACACTTTTACAGAAAACGACGTTTTCAGTATTCTAGCGACATCTCGTTTGATAAAATTCAATAAGCTATAGCTTGAAGCGGGAAATTCAAATAAATACAGGCTTCACCCCCATTTTAGGACAATTCCAGAGGGTCTTGAACAAGAGCTTCTGGTATTGTTGACAAAAGTGGCATGGTCTAACCTCTTCAGATGAAGAATGACCTAGAAAGACCTTCTAAAGATCCAAAATTGGTAAGATGTTAATGGATGGACCATGGCCCAGATTTGGGAGCCCGTCTGCCCCTCTACTGACAATTATTTAAGGTTCAAGAAGAAAATAGGCATACTTATAATTTAAGAAGAAGAAAACCAAACATTTATAAAGAAGGTGATTTAGTAGCCATCAAGAGAACCCAGTTTGGACCTGGACTGATGCTTTGCCGAGAGTATTTAGGACCACACGAAATTGTAAAGGTGAAAAGTAAGGAGAGATACGATGTTATGAAAGTTGGATTACATGAGGGACCAGTTCGAACTTCCACATGTTCAGAACACATGAAACCTTACGTTGATAATGGTGATGAATCCGAAATGGATTTACTGTTGGACGGCCGATTGTAGGATTTGAATTATTAAAATAAATACAGTTGCTTGCCCAGGTGCAAGAGCGATACCAGTTAGGTGGTGGAAGATCGATAATATATTATATATATAATACCACCGCCGTAGAGAGTAAAAGACGAGCAAGGTATGAAGACGTTGGTGTAAGACGGTGCATTTTTGCCAAAACAAAGACGAAAGACGTATTTTTGTCTATTGCTTTAGATGTGTACATTTGAAGACGCAATATAAATAGATTGTGTATATTTAGTTTCTGTTATTCGTTTTGATGTTTGCTGTTCGTTGTTCTTTTTCTTCATTATTAATATTATTATTTATTTATCAAATCTCCCGGAGCCATTTATTAAACAAACCCTAGAAAAAATAAAAAGCCTATAAAATGATAAAAAGTAACCTATCGAACTATTAATTACATTGTCTTCAATTTATGTGCTTATTTCATCAGAAACATTTTGGTTTCTCCAATTTATCAAAAATTTCTATTCATTCTCTTTATCTAAATTTACATTCGCTCCAATTGATGTTTAGAATTTATTTTTTGCGCTCGATGTAAAGCTTGTTGTTTCGAACAGTGTTTTTCTTATATTTATCGCAAAAAAAACATACCTGGCGATTATCTACAATAATTGTATCATCCTTAGTAGAATTTACAGCGCGCTTATTATTTCTGGAGTTTCACTTACTCGGTTTTCGAGAACTGCATCTTCAGTGGGTTGACCAAATTCTTAGCTTGGCTCCTCTTCGAGAGCGAGGTCAACAGCAACGTCTTCAATTATGTGTTCAACATCAGCAGAAGTAGACGGTTGTAGCTGAGATGGAAATGGGGACTTTCCTTTTTTTTTTTTCGAAGTTGTGGTATCATAATAAAATTTCTTCAATGCTGTAAACGTTTTACAATACGTACGATGATAGCCACTATCTAAATGTTCACGTAGTAACGTCACGTCACTATATTTTAAATTATGAAAATTGCGTAAACGCAAGATAGTTTCACATTTCTTAAAAGTTTCTTTCGAAAAAATGTGTGCACCTACATCAGAATTGGAATTACAAAATGTACAATTTAATTCATCTGCCATGATTTCAAATGTGCAGTGAATTATAAAAAATCAACGCACAAAAAGTAAGATACACTACACGCGCTTCTCGAACAAACTTTCCATGACGACATTCCTGGCATAAGGGATATTTCTTTTCCTAGGGACGGTCAACTAATGGAGTGAAGATCAAGTAAAATTCAACTTAAATTGTAGAGGAAGACATTTCTTTCATTTAAAGCAGCTGTAAAAAATGGTGTATATTCAATTAACATGTTCTATTATTTTTACAAAGGTGCTTCAATAGGAGTTACCTGCGAGATGAAGAGTGAGGGAGTCAAAATCGAGCGCCTTCATTAGTACGACTAAGAAAGTAATATGTGGTCTGTCTGGATGTCAGAACCGACCTATCTATCAGTTTTTTTGAATATGTGTACCTATGCAATAATAATATAAATGGCATATATAATTTTTAGCTTTGCAGAAATAACGCAGTTGTATAAAATTTTCGCAGCTTTGAAATTCTATAGATTATAGTAGCAACCGGAAGAAGTGTCTGTCATTAAATGTTTACATAAAAAAAATATATATTTTCAGATATTAAACCGGCAGACAATCTGCAATCACGTTCTCAGAGTCAATTTTGATGCTTTGCGATTTCTGGGCACGCCCAAAGGAACTCTTCGAGAAATATTATACCTAGCATTAATAAGGACTTTGCTATTATACCGTAAGTCTGCGGACGCGGGTTCTTAGACTATAAAGGATACCCAATTAAACAAACTTCGATTTCGAAATCACCTCTTTTAACTATCAACGAGGAATGTACCTGTTATTTTGACAATGGATTACAAATCTCATACAACAATCAGGGAATCAACGAAATCAAAAGTATAGCGCTATTAATACCAGAAATACCTGAAACTTGTTGTCACAAAGATATTGAAATCCTGAAACAATTTGATATTGAACCCATAAGTCTACACTATCTAATGGGTAATAACCTCGCGATATTCAACACAAAGCTTACAACCGTACAACAGAGAATTAAGGAAGAGTATATAAAAAATTACACGAATGTTAAGCACCGCATCTGATAGAATATGTCACGTTCGCTCGAGGCTGTCGCTTGCGGGTCGCGGTGGGCGGAGTTTTGTCTCCGGCCCGAAATGCGAAGTTCAGCCGAACGACGACTAAAATTTATTTACCACGGAAGCGATAGTTTTATTACCAACTTAAATGCTATTAAAATAGGCCTGAGGTTTAACATTATATTTCAGAGAAAGAAAGAATGAAACTAACTGTTTACATTACATATAAAAATTACAAAGAACAAAAGCATATATATATATATATACAAACAAGGAAAATCATATCTACAAACAACTCTTAAACATGCATTCATACTTAACATACAGAAAGATAACTAACATTCGAACAGTCATACTTGGCACAAATAGTCTTTTTATATTTCACTCGCGCACATTCTATGGTCTCCTGCACAGCAAGCGTCGGTATCGCGTCAGCGTAGCTGGTAGTGACGAGAGGAGGGATGTCGTTGACGACGGCAGTGCCAGTAACGGTGATTCCAAACTGTGGACGGCCTGCGACGGAGCCTTTCGCGGCGTCCGTAGGGCGATTGATGTAGGCAGCGGCGGTTGGCGTGGCACCCTATCGCGCCGCGACGGCGTGGGCAGCGGACTGCCACAGGTTCGGGGCGTAACCAGCGCGCAGCTCTCTGAAGACAGCGTCCAGGCCATGGTGGAAGGCCGTACCGTGAGGTCTCGGCGTCTGTATTGGCCGGCGTCGGGCGGCAGCGATTCTCCATTCTTCCTCTCGGCGGTGGCGGCGGTATTCTTTTGCCGAGCGTCCTGCTCGTGGCATCAAAGGTAGCGGTAGCTACAGGAGCTAAAGGGTAGCTATGATAGCTAGAAGGTAACTGTGCAGCTATAGAGAAGCCGAACTGTTTTGATTTCTGGTCTTTTCTTTTTTGTTTTCGTGAAAGAGGGGAATTCTTCAAAAGACAAAAGAGTAGTGCCGGATTTCCGAGTAAGATGTATTCGTCAGGGAGGTTGGGAGTAGTTGCCAATTTGTTTTTGTATTATATATCCAGTGTGTTTCTGATGTCTGTGTGTGTGTTGATTGTATGTGTTAGTGTGGTACCTAAGTATTTTATTTCTGTTTTCAGTGTTAGACGAGTGTTTAGTAGTGTAACATTTATGTCGCTCACTGAAAGGGACTTTTTGGTGACGAGGTTAGGGTGTCTGAATAAAAAAAGTTGGGTTAGGTTTTATAAGCCATTGATTGAGCCATAGTTCGAGTTGATACATTTCTTGGTTAATTTTTTTTTTCAGCCTATACAGATTATCTTTACTAGCGCAGTTTCGTGTATCGCGTTTCATACACTTGTGTTGTAGGTATCTATCACGGTATCGATTTCTTCCTGACTGTTTACTGTCGGTGGGAGGAGGTTAGAATTACTGATGTGTTCGTAAAGGTTGTCGAAATTAATATTTTTGTAGTCGCGTATTTCTTTATACGAGGTAGGTGTGATATTACATGAACGGATGTTAAGTATGGCGGATAGTGGAACGTGGTCGCTAAGTTATCGGAGTTCCTATTTCATATTTATCAGGAGTGGACGAGCCTTGGTAGCTTAAAAAGGTGAAATTAGTGTTTCTTATGCGGTATATTGCTTTGAGAAGACGTAAATATGGGACGGGTCCAAACTTCTGGCCGACGGGACTTCCCAGTTTGTATCGCCACTGACACTGTTCGATATCTTTCTCTCTTGTTCCCGAACTCAATGCCGCCACACGTAGCGTAACGTTCGGTTCCCTCGACGACCCGACCGGGCCCCGCTTTTTCTTTTCGGCCAGACACTCTTAGCGAATGATCATGTCATTGATGATCAATTCTTAATTTCTTGATATCAATGCGACGACCGTACCACAAATCTGCTGGACTTTCTCCTGCGACTTTATTTGTCCCAGTTTAGTTTATTGTAAACACTGTATAGTTTACTGCTTCTTGTCCTTCAAGTTCTTCGCCCGTAAAACTGACCTTGCTGATTTCACAATTGTTCTCATTTCCATTTCGATTCTACAATTTTTTTTGGTGTGTGAATATTTGAGAAAGTGAGCCGAATTCCCAACTCCTCCAGAAGTTTGCGAGTGGTAGAGTTTTCAATCTCCTTGCCGTGATCAGACCTCAAGACTTTTACCTTTCTTCCGAATAGATTTTCAATTTCTTTCAAATAAATCTTCAGATAGTAGACAGTTCTAAAATGCGAGTAGTCATCCTTGAACATCAGAAAGTACTTCGCTCCTCCGATTCTCCAAGATCTACGTGAACTAAGTCCAATAGTTGAACAGCTGTTTTGTCATTCTCAGGGTGTGTAACTCGGTGCTGCTTGCCCAAAGCACATGCGTTGCAAACTTGGTTGTTCCAGCCATTTATAAACTTGATGTTATTTTTCTTCAAAATTTCCTTCAGGTTCTGATGTGCAAGCCTCTCATGCCAAGTGACAATTGAAGTTGCAATCAGACTGGTATTCTCAGTTGGTTGACGAAACATGACCTTGTATAAGTTTCCCTCACGTTGAGCCATCGACAAAACTGCTTGATTTTCCTTTGCCTTGATAATTGACACGTCCTTGTTGCACTCTTCAGTGTGTTCTCGATTCATGATTTGACTAAGAGAAATCAAATTGACATTTAATCCAGGTACATAAAGTACATCTTTAAGTGTAGCCAATTTCCATTCAACACCGTTGTAGGCTTCCAGTTCGATGTCTCCTACTGATGTAGCCTTGAGTTGACGAGTCTCCCATGGTCACTTTAGTTGGCTGCTTTCAGTTCTCTCATGTTAACAAACCAGCTCTTGTGCGATGTCATATGTTGTGTGGCTCCACTGTCCTGGTACCAATTGTCATTTGCCCCTTGTTTTTGGTTCTGCAAATCAATTCTTGACAATCCAATGGCTACGTAAAGTTTGCCTGAGCGATCTCCGTAACTTCTGTCACTCTTGCCTGGCCTCTCATTGTCTGACTTGTCATTATTTCTCTTCAAACAGTCTCGGGCAAAATGTCCTTTTTGACCACAAACATTACAAGGATAATTTTCTTTGCAGTAAGCTAAATACTTTGCACACGGTTTGTTTGTGCAACTTTTCTTCATGTGGCCTTTCTGTCCACATTTGAAACAAGTGAGTGTAGCGCTCCCACTTTGTTTGTTTGCTTCTGGTTGCTGTGCTGTCTCGCCTTCTTTCTCTGCTGCATCATCAAAGCGTTGCCAGACGTTGGCTTACTTGACCTTTCTCGTGCTTTGATTCTGTCTTCTTCAGGTCTCAGCTTCGCGATGAGGTTTGGTATAGTTCGCTGATTTCTTGCTACGTTGTCCCAAGATGTGCGAAAATGGTACAGATGAGGTGGCAAAATTGATAACATTCCAGTCATTGCCCGTTGTTCATAATTGTTTCCATCCAGAGAAGTTAAATCTTCGGCGAGTTGCAGTATGACAGCTGATTTGGAGTTGTCAATTGTGTAGCTGAAAAATTTGCGTTGCAGACCTTCGATCTCATAGTCTAACTTTTTACCATACAAGTTTTGCAGTTTTCCATACATTTCAAATGCCGTTGTACAACTCAAAATCTTCTTCGAAATAGCTTTACTAACATTTATGCCAATGACGGTTTGAGCCTCAATGTCCTTTGGCTGGAAGTTGGCTTGGACTGCACATTGCGACTTGGCGATAACAATTTTCTGGACTTACTTGACTAACTTGTTATTTTGCTTGATAATTTGGCATGTCTGACTTTTGAGCATGATCTGGGCCCATAACCTGTTAGTTTTTTAATTGCCAAATAATTTATCAAACAAGTCAGATTGTAGTTTTAACAGACGTCCTTTTATTTGCTATTTTACAATCCAAAGTAATCCCAAAATATTTTTAAAGTAATTCATCAAAAATAAAACTGGTGATAGTTTTGAAAGGCCGCACTATGTAATAGTTGTATTTCAAACAGAAAAATGTGATAATGTTCTTGTTAGTTTTAATTGCCAAATAATTTATCAAACAAGTCAGATTGTAGTTTTAACAGACGTCCTTTTATTTGCTATTTTACAATCCAAAGTAATCCCAAAATATTTTTAAAGTAATTCATCAAAAATAAAACTGGTGAATTTCACAGACGCTTTCTTTACAAAATTATTTTCGCAGTCACTTTATTTACAATATTATCAACGCCATTGTTTTCATACTATCTAGATTAACAGAAAATAAACATTACAGAAAATAATTAATCACAACAAATTATTTACACGAGAACTTGACAGTCACAGTATCACTATCATTCAAGCTTTACAAGTTCTAAGCCTATGTATAAACGTCGGTTAATACAACACTTCTCTACCAGTTTGCGGTTGTGAACTAGTATCTAATTCTAAAATCTGTAGTAAATTGCCTTAATTTGATATTTATTTCCAATTGTATTGTAAAAAAAAATATTANATATTAGAGGCAGAAACAGGAGTTAGGAGGGGTAGAGGTAGACCAAGATTAGATTACTGTTCGCAAATAGTTAAGGATGTGAGCTGTTCTAGTTTTAGGGAAATGCGAAGTTTAGCTCAGGATAGGAAAGAGTGGAGGTACGTGTCCAACCGGTCTTAGGACTGACGACCTTATAATGATGATGATGTGTGCCTTGTATTGTTTTATATAAAGATGTTACTTCAAAATCATTAGGGTAGATAAATTCTGGAAAATATTTGTAAGCAATATCGGGATTTATAACTGAGGATGAGGCACCTGAATCAATAAGTAACTTAATTTGGAATTTATTAAAATAAATAAATGGTAATTTAGGTTGATTAGGTAAGGTGTTAAGATCGATTAAATATTGAGGTTTGGTGAGGCTTTCCCAAAAAAAAATTTTTCACTATTATCTATAAAGTAATTATCATCTAAATCTTTACTACTATACCGTACTTGACTTTTATCATTAATAATTTCAGTTTCGTCGCTTGTCTCGTTGTTGTGTAATTCTTCGACTATAAAGTTAGATTTTTGTCCGTAATTCTGGAAAAAGTTGTTGGAGGTATTTTGTCTGGATTTTTGTTCTTTTAATCTCATGAAATTTAAGAAGTGGGTTTGTTGTTCTTGGTCATCATAATTACGACAGACTAGTATGCAACTATCTAAATCTACAGTGGGTGTGATAAAGTTCTTTAATCCCTGCTATAAATGTTTTTTTTTGCAATTTCATTATAAACTTGCAATTTACTTTGAACTAGTACGTCTGTTTTAATATTAAGTTGAATATGTTCTATAAGAGAATTTAAGCGTTTTTTTATTTGCTCCGCGTATTGTTCATAATTTTGACTAGATTTTTGGTAGGGAGTTAAGTGAATTGAAAAGTATTTGCTCTGATCACGGATCACCAAAGCGATTTAATAATAACAATTTAAATTCTGGCCAGTTTTTTGGCTGATTTATCAGCCTTTAAATCCTGTTCTTTACCCGACGGCAGTAATAATTTGTAAAACCTCTCCTTTGTTAATGTTTTTTTTAGCAAAAAATTAAAGAGATTTTTCTTTGTTTTTTTTTTCTTTCTTTTTTTGTGATATAGCATGTCGATGAAGGCCACAACTCTGATTCTCCAAAGATTCACTTAAAATGATTATTNGTGTAACGATCTGCTTGATGACCCCGCCCTAGAAAGGTTTGACTGAACAGATATTTGGATCTGTGCTCCTACTTTCCTAATTTCCTGACGAGTTTTTACTTTCAAAGTAACAGCCGCTCCCAACAAGTGGTCAGCGATCGGGTTATTTCGAATTTTCTTTTTAAGGATAATGCATGATGTATACCGGGCATAAGTTTAGTTGCGTCAATAAGTTTTTCGGCTAAATCCTAGGTTAAAATTAATTCCTTATCGCAGGTAGTAACCTGCGGATGCATATGTGTAGCCAACGGACTGACAACATATAAGTATTATGCAGGCGGTACTCTGCGGATGCATATGTCTAGCCACTGACCTAACAACGTACAGGTAATATCATTTTACGAAGGCAGTAATCTGCGGATGCAAAAATTTCGTCAAACGCTAACACTTTACAATGTACTTATAAAAAGAACTAGTTTGAATCGGAAATAGTAATTTTGCATATATAAGACATGTCACTTAATNGTCCTGAATCTTAGTGTCTAGAAAGTGTTTAGTTTCAATATTATTAGTTAATTTTGGTATCGTAATTTCAAATGGCTTATTTGATATTTGGTATTTTACATTGTTAATAAAAATTGTAGAAAAAATGGATTTCTTACCTATTTCCCTTCCATACATGATATACATACAACTTTGTCTTTATTTTCAATTTTTGCCCCTGTACTTTCAGATAGTTGGTTTAGGTCTTCAAAGTTCCGATGAGCCATTCGTTGATGTCATAGGTAAGGATCATTTTCTTCTGTTGCAGATATGTATGCTGGAACACTATGTGTATTAAGCCGGTACATATTATTCTTCAATCTTGCATGTGTCACTTGTTAATCATTTTTATTAAATATCCTGCAACCTTGTTTGTCAAATTGCACTTGACAGCCATTCTGTATTATTTGGCTTACAGAAAGAAGGTTAGTGGCAAGTTCAGGAACATNTGCTTCTCGAACAAACTTTCCATGACGACATTCCTGGCATAAGGGATATTTCTTTTCCTAGGGAGGGTCAACTAATGGAGTGAAGATCAAGTAAAATTCAACTTAAATTGTAGAGGAAGACATTTCTTTCATTTAAAGCAGCTTAAAAAAATGGTGTATATTTAATTAACATGTTCTATTATTTTTACAAAGGTGCTTCAATAGGAGTTACCTGCGAGATGAAGAGTGAGGGAGTCAAAATCGTGCGCCTTCGTTAGTACGACTAAGAAAGTAATATGTGGTCTGTCTGGATGTCAGAACCGACCTATCTATCTGTTTTTTTGAATATGTGTATGCAATAATAATATAAATGGCATATATAATTTTTAGCTTTGCAGAAATAACGCAGTTGTATAAAATTTTCGCAGCTTTGAAATTCTATAGATTATAGTAGCAACCGGAAGAAGTGTCTGTCATTAAATGTTTACATACAAAAAATATATATTTTCAGATATTAAACCGGCAGACAATCTGCAATCACGTTCTCAGAGTCAATTTTGATGCTCTCCGATTTCTGGGCACGCCCAAAGGAACTCTTCGAGAAANTTATATTCTGTAGGTAATGGGTTTCTGCTAAAATAATCGGCGTGCGGTATGTATTTTCCTTTGCGGTATTCAATTTCAGAATTAGTCTTGAAGATAAAGCCACCAGCGTGCTATTCGTGGAATTATGTTCTTTTTGTTTTGTGTAAGTTTTAAAGAGTTACAGTCCGTTACTAATTTAAACGGCACGCCTAACAGATAAACACGAAAATGTTTGATCGCGTAAAATACCTTTCTAACTCGTATGAATGATAGTTCCATTCAATAGTACTGGCCCTCCGAGAGAAATATGATACCACCTTTAGTTGTTTATCATGTTGAAAAAGAATTGCTCCGAAGTAGTAATACAATGTCGCTTCTGGGACTCCGGATGGCCTGTCCATCCAGTTCTGACCATCGTCCAGTCCTTCGGCGCCTTTGGAGGTCATTCTTCAGTTGATGAAGGTCATTCTTTGGCTGTAGAGGAATAAGAAGGTCATTCTTCGGCTAGGCCGAAGAATGCACACACACACGCACACCTACACACATGCTCGGCAAACACACCCTACAACCCCCTCCCATCGTAGACGTCGCTGTTGCTGCAGTTATGGGTGGCTGTAGGGGATGTTTATTGAGCATGTGCGTTTTGTGCGTGTGTGTGTGTGTTATATTTTTGTGTTTGTGTGCGTTATTTTTTGTGTGTGTATGTGTATTTGTGTGTTGTCTATGTGTGTCTGTATCGTGTGTGGTGTGTATTGGATGGATGATGGTTAGTTGCCGTAGACGATTTTTTTCGCGCGGCCGGGGTTCGAACCGAGTACGAGTGCGAGAGTACGACGACGACCGATCACAACGTTAACGGGCTGGGCCACCGACTCGACCCGCTTGATCGTTCCCTAAAACTGGTTGATACAACAAGCGGCGTGTGTGTGTGTATGTACGAGTGTACCATGTCTCCCGTAGCTGGCCGGGCAGAGCATGTATTTGTATAGTATACGTATTTGAATCATACATGTGTGTATACGTATAGTTGAATGGTATGTTAGGTGGTACGTACTTAGGGAAAATGCTGGTTATTTACTGACCGGAAAGTCTCCTGACTTTCCGAGTGTGGCGGCTCGGACTAGGCACGTGATTACTAGACTAGTAATCCCATCTCTAGAACATACCCACTAAAAACCCTAAACTCTTGAGGATACTCCATTGCACCCCGCGCGGAACCGCCGTCAGGCATTACTTCGCCCGGGGAGGACTGGCTAGTTGCTGCCTACTTCATTGTTGTCGCTGTGGGCGTCTCCTTGGTCGATCTCCTTGGAGAGTTTTCATCATCTTGGCCGCTGCATCGGCCACTGCCTTCCAATTTTCCTCGCAACGAACCATCAGGCCGACGAGGTTTTCTGGCGTACCATGGCAATGGAGAATT